TAAAACTTCAATCCACATTATGCCAGATACTCCAGAAATTAATCTTGCACGAGCCAACGCTCTTAATGTGAGCAATGTAAGTAGCACAGCTTTCTGTTTTGTTTGGAAAGTTAGCCAGCTGGCCAGGGAGTCTTCGCAGCTATGGGGAGAGGATCACCTACCTGGTCAGGAGCAGGGAGGCTCCTTGCCATAGGCCCTGGGCCCTGGCTGTGAGTCCCTACGCAAGGACCCTGACTGGTGAGCAAGGTCAACGTAACAAAAGGTAGAAGGAAGTAAGGGCAAAGAAGACCAAGGAGGAGGGCTGGGGATTTAGTTCAGCGGCATAAGCGCCTGCCTTGCAAGCAGGCAGTTGTGAGTTTGATCCCCGGTACTGATAAAAAGGAAAAAGAAGAAAAAAAAAAAAAAAAAAAAAAGAAAAAAAGAAGACCAAGGAGGAGTGAAGAGAGGCATAAGCAAGAAGAGAGAGAGAGAAGGACGATGCAGAGGAGCTAGAAATAATAATTCTTTGTGAGAATATACAAACAATTTAAAAACTTGAGTCTATTAGGGATATTCTAGAAATTACCAGAACTGATTCCAGAAACATAGGGAAAACATATGGAAAGAAATAAAGTTACAAAGTATGTTCCTTTTTCCTGTCAAATATCCCCAATAATGATTTCATAGAATTCTTTCAGAATTTTAGGAAATAAACTACCTTCAGCCTAATAATAATAAGACGAAGAAAGGAAAAGAAAACCATCACAGTTAACAAAACTTGATAAAAGTTCTACAAAATAAAACTATAGACCAATAATAATGAAAAAAATCTTAAAATATTAACAAATGAAATTCAAAAATACATTCAGATAATATGATAAAAACAACTGAGGTTCATTCAGGAATGCCAAGAGGGTTCCATATTCGGAAACCTAATAATACAGTAGCACAAAAAAAAGACAACCCATCTGCTTATTTTGTCAGATTTAAAAAGACATGTGACCAAGCCTAATATTCATTTTAAAAAATAAAATCCTAGTTTAAAAAAAAATAAATAAGGGCCAAGGATATAGCTCAGCAGTACAGCACCTGCCTGGCAAGCATGAGGTCCTGAATTCAATTCCTGGTACCAAAGGAAACAAGAAAGAATAAACAAATAAATAATGTAACATTTTCTTGACATGACTAAACAATCCCAAAGGCTAGCTCATCCTTATGAAGTAAATTTCCTATTCAAGGCAGGTTAAAAGAAGGATGCTCACTTTTGTCACACAATTAACATTTTGTGTTTACAGTGGTACCTCGGTTTGTAAAATTTATTCTTTCCACAAGACCTGAGTTGTAAACTGAGGTACCACTGTACTTGGCTAAGTGAGTAAGCTTCTCATTGATACTAACATAACAGCGAGAAGAATAAGAGATAAACATTGGGAAGAAAGAGAAAATTATTATTTTCAGAGGAAATCATTTCAAGCCTAGAAAAAGCAATAGAGTCAAACCACAAAAAATCTATTAAGCATATTTCAGTTGTGTGACTACATAATTCAAGAAACTCAAAACAGGTGCCATGTTTATGGGTCACACAGGTTGTAGATCTGTGGAATAAATGTAACTTTAAAATGAGGAATATTACCATAGTGCAATTCTTCATGGTTTGGAGCTTGGCATTCTTTCAGAAGAATCATAAAACTTTCTGAAGGAGGAGTTGCCAGGCAAAGATTCCTCACTATGTGCCAAACTGTGCCAAACTTCACAAATAATGAGTAATGGGCGAGTAATTTTTCCCAATGTTTGCGAAGAGAATACAGTTATGGGATGCTGCAGCATGTTCTAGGAAGTGGTAGAAGGGCCAGTGTCATGTTTTGATGCCTTCTTGTCAACCGGCTGAATCAAGAGGCCTTCAGTTCTCCATTACAGGATGGTCCCTTCTTTCTTTGGTCCATGGGTGCCTCTGGCAGGAGAGGTCAGAGAAGTCTTCTTGTGATTTCACTTTTGCTTCACAGATTTCTCAGCCGAAAATGCCAGAAGCCTGCCATTGACTGCATGATATGAACAAAGCTAGCATAGTTTTCAAAATTATTCTAAAAGTTAACCTATTAGTTTTAGATATTAATGAGAATGGATTACATTTTAAAGGACATCAAACACCCTATTTGAGTGCACAACAAAATATAATGACATTTTTTAACACATGGTGTTGCCATGTTTTCTTTACACACGGTATTGCCATTTTTATAATTTTGATAAAGTCTACTACTTAAAACTATTCCTATCATTTAGAAAACACAACTTTTACAGAATAGTTATATATGATTTTTATGGCTAACAAAACAAGTTCACATTAAATTGGTTCATTAGTGCTGGAAGTTTAACTCAGTGGCGTAAGTGCCTGCTTGGCAAACACGAAGTCGTGAGTTCGATCCTCGGTACCAAAAAAAAAAAAATTTGCTCATTAAATCTTCATACTAACTACATGAATAAGATGTTCTTTTGCTTTTGTTAGATGGGAAAACTGAAACTTAAAATAGTTCAAAATTAACTCATAAAATTAGGTGGAGAAAGTAGGTGTCAAGCCTCATCAAATCGATATTTTAGTTCAAAGAAAAAACACATATTTGACTGCATAAACACAAAAATTTATCATATAAAAATAGTATGAAATTATAATGAAATGAGATAAAAATAAGATTAAGAAGTAACATAATGACATATTTACATTAAATATTTTCTAGTATACTATGGAAAACACTTTTTCTTCTGTACAGAAAACAGGTCAGTTATTAAATTAGGCCCATCCAAAATTCATACAAAACTTGACAATGATTGTAAGTATAAAATTTATCCAAGTTCTCATTTTCAGATATACAAAAGTTAAAACTGCCAGTAATTGAATTTCACCTGTTTCTGCACTGTAAAAGCCCCTTTACTAATGGTATGAGTGATGATTAATATTATAGTTGTAATATACTGGTATGATCTCTGAACTACACATTTAAATTACTGTTAATTCTAAATTGGTCATTGTCAATACAGAATGTATCTATTTAAAATATGGACATATATTTAAAGATTTTTTTAAATATCTATAAATTAGTCACTATATTGACTTCTTTTTAAAAACAAGAAAAATAGCTATGATGTCCAATTGTACTTCTTCAGAAGATCTAACAGTCCCAAACAATATGCACCATCAATTGCATCAGAATGAAAATACTATATTGAGGAAAAAGCCAAAAAACTTACAAATGTGCAAAGTTGGTAATTCTGAGAATTGCAGAATTAAATTGAACAAAACAAATTCAGCAATAGCCAATCAATATCTGAACTTATCCCAATGCTATTAGCATATCAACACAAGGGGAAAAAAGATTAAACCCCTTCATGGTATGCATCAGAGGATAAGCCTTGTACAAGTACATCAAAGCTGTGATCCAAATGAAAGAAAAAGCAGTCTTACAAGGCCCAGATCTGGGGGCTCCAGGCACCATTTTATGCTCCATGACATGGTGCGTAGAATGGTTTTTCACCTATTCTCTTTCCTGTAGCTGGTCTGAAATTCTGGAGCTGTACCCTTGAGGTACTAAGTCTGCTTAAGCCCTTTGAGTTATTGGCTAAGTTTGAATCTGCAATGATACCTTATGGTCTCTTCTCTTCAAAGAAAATTTACCGTGAGGGGTGGGATGAAATGAAGATGAGCTGCGATGTGCGGCTGGACGCCATCCCTATCCAGGCTGCCAAGGCCTCCAGGGAGATTGCCAGTGACGTGAGTGTGGCATTTTCTTACCTCTCAGTTTGTTAATCAAAGGCCCAAGGTGCACCCAGAGAGCATGCTGTGACCCATCTGCTTTGTTTTCCACCCACAGTATAAATATAAGCTTGACCATGAGAAGCAGAAGGGCCACTATGTGGGCACCCGGACAGCCAAGGATGACAACAAGATCCGGTGGGCTCTGATCGCTGGCAAGCTTCAGAATGAAAGAGAGTACCGGTTGCACTGGGCCAAATGGAAGAGCAAGTTCCAAAGCCCTGCAGATATGCTTTCTGTTTTGCATTCTAAAAATTCCCAGGCCCTGGTCAGCGATATTGATTATCGCCATTACCTGCACCAATGGACATGCATGCCTGACCAGAATGATGTAATTCAGGCCAAGAAAGCCTATGAACTGCAAAGCGATGTGAGTGGGTCACACTGTAGGATGAGCTCTTAAGTTGTTTTGCCATGATTTTTAGTTCATTACATTATGTCCTTTATCATCATTACACATCTTTATGCAGCCAAGAATTTGATATTAGTGAAGCTTTATAATATGGTATCAAGATCATCAAAACCAAGAAGGATCTTTGTGTCCAGAAATAAATGGCAGGGAAGAGGGGTCGAAGAGAAGGGTAGGGGAACGGGAAAAAAGAAAGAAAGAGAGAGAGAGGGAGAAGAAATGAAAAGAAGGAAAGAGAGAAATGGTAGTGTGAATGAATACAGGGTTTTTCCTTATGATAGCAAGCATTGAATCCAGGGTCATCACACTCAATTGTGCCCCAGAACCCCTTTTTTCTTTTTTAAGACCATCACTCTAAGTCAGTAGGTTGCCCAAGTTGAGCTGAAACTTCTGATTCTCCTGCTTCAGTCTCCCTAAGTACTGGGATTACGGGTGTGCACTGGTCCTAATAATATTAAGTTATAGAAAACTATGAAGAAAAGTGTTATTTCTATGGAATTTAGGTAGCAACCAATGTTTGTATCAAATAAAATATAGGATTTAAGCACAGACATGCTTTTTTTAATTAGCATAGTTGTTAAAGAGAGTTTGAGTGAAGTTGCCACAATTTTTAAGGCCATATATTTTCATATGCAAATCTAGGATTAGTCATTTATCTTGAAAATTTAGAATATACAGCTCTAGACATGCATCACCCCCTAGCAACAATAACCTAGAAATGAACCAAGATTAACTCGTTTTTTAAAAGAACTCACTATTACTATTCAGAGTACATCAAAATAAGCCATTATTAAAAAAACTATAAAATACTGTAGCAATAGAAATCCGAAGTATGACATGCACAGAGCCAAGAAAACCACCAATGCCAGATATTGAATTTCTATTGCACTGTCCTTTAAACATACCAGCAGGAATAAACTGTTGAGTGTAGATTCCATAGAGTGGGAAACTCATATTAAATAGAAAAAGTATCCTCCAGTTGGTTGTGTTACGTGCCCTAATTAACTTTTTTATGTTGTTCATTTGGCTGTTTGGGTTTCTTATCCTTGGCTTATATAATATTTAAATTGTGTCACTTCATCAGATCTTTGAATAGGTTAAATGGGACCAGAGTATTGGCGGTGCTCAATTCATTCTGGTCATTTCCACAGGCTGTTTACAAGGCTGATCTGGAATGGTTACGTGGAATTGGGTGGATGCCAAATGATTCTGTTTCCGTCAATCATGCCAAACATGCTGCGGACATCTTCAGTGAGGTATTCCAAGATTTTGTCTTGTCACTCAGTACATTTTCAAAGGAAATGAACAAAACACATGAACCAAAATAGAGTCATCTCACATCAGCAATTGTAATCATTTTAATTGCTAAATTTTACACTGTATTTTCCAAAATAATCCTGTACTGCCCCATCACATTATACCTAATATAATAATATCTAACACACTCTCATTGATGCTTCAAATTGAAAAGTTTTTTTGACAGTTATAGCAATATACTGGAAAAAGTTTGTCCAATTGAAAAAAATGGATTGCACATATACACATAAAGATATGACTTTGAGGGATAATCAGACTTGCTACTTTAAAATCTCTGGGACTTATAAGAAGCCAACCTATTTGTTTAAAAAGTAAAATTTAGAGAAAAAAAAACCAAATTGCCAAGAATATACATTTGTTTAAGGCATTCAATACCTCTAGTTGAAAAGGACCTTTGTATTTAGGAAATCTCAGTCATCAAAACCAAGGAATATAACTATCTAAAGGATTGTTCATTCCTTTTAGAAAAAATATCGCACAAAAATAGAAACTCTCAACTTTACTCCTGTGGATGACAGAGTCGACTATGTGACAGCGAAGCAAAGTGGCGAGATCCTCGATGATGTAAGTATATGATGGCTGTAAAATTACACAGTCATGCTGGGCTTTGGTGGCACGTGCCTGCAGTCCCAGAATTTGGGAGCCTGAGGCAGTACGATCGCCACAAGTTTGAGGCCAACCTTCGCTACATAGTGAGCTCAAGGCTAGCCTGAACTACACAGAGAGACCTTATCTTAAAAAAATAAAGAAATAATAAATAAAAGTCATGTAATCATGTAGCTATTGTTTCTAAAATTCCCTACTTCCTTGCAAGTCAGCATGCCATCATTGTCCAAGATGTAAATTTTAATCATGAATGCTTGATGCCAACAATTGCTTGAACAACATGATGTTCTTAAGGTCAAGTAACCTTTGTCCTCCTACTTTTAGATTAAATATCGCAAAGATTGGAATGCCACCAAGTCAAAATACACTCTCACAGAAACTCCCCTGCTGCACACTGCCCAAGAGGCTGCCCGGATCCTAGACCAGGTAGGGTTTTTACTTGGAAGCCTGATTCCTCCAGTGTGGGTGGAGACCCTCATGAAGCCGGGGGGAAGTTTCTGCACATGATTTCTCGCTAAACCTTCATTGTGCTCTCTGTCTCTTAGCACCTGTACAAGGAAGGCTGGGAGAAACAGAAAGCTACAGGTTATATTTTGCCTCCAGATGCTGTGCCATTTGTTCACGCCCATCATTCCAGTGATGTTCAGAGTGAGGTAACTTTTCCCAGTGTGTGTTAACTTTGGAAAAGTGGGCCTTGCCTGTAAGGAATGCTCAGTGTGCCCGAGGTGTAGATGGCACTGGATAGATGTTCTAGGCCAGGCTGGCAGCCAGGGCAGGGCTTGCTCAGGGCTGTAGTAGCTCCTCTTTTGGTCTTTTCCCATGGGTTTTGAGCCTCCTCCTTCTCTTCTTTTTTTCTTCCAAAGCTATTGCGTAAGTTCCTTACTTTTTCTTAGATCCTCTGCCTTCGCTAAAATCTCTAGTTTCCCAAATATACTTCCAGAAACATAGAACAAATATATGTTTTTTAAATTTTTAAAAATAAAAATATTTTTCATATTTATTTATTAATTCAATGCTTGTAATTCAGTGCAATCCTGGGTTGGAAGTGTCACACAAAAACTGGTGGGGGGCTGAGTTTCTGATGTTCCTGAGCAGATGGTCCTGCTCCCTTGGCCCTGTGTACCGGGCAAAGCTGATGGAATCTATGCTCTTCTTCCCGGCAGCTGAAGTACAAAGCTGAACACGTGAAGCAGAAAGGTCACTATGTTGGTGTTCCCACAATGCGAGATGATCCTAAATTGGTTTGGTTTGAGCATGCAGGCCAGATACAGAATGAGAGACTCTACAAACAGGACTACCACAAAACCAAGGCCAAAATCAATATACCTGCAGACACGGTGTCAGTCGTGGCTGCCAAACAGGGGCAGAGCCTTGTCAGTGATATTGATTACCGCAATTACCTGCACCAGTGGATATGTCATCCCGACCAAAATGATGTAATTCAGGCACGAAAGGCCTATGACCTGCAGAGTGATGTAAGTGGTTTTTGTTTCTTCAGTATCTAGAAGTATACCATATACTGGGAATAATAAGCAGCATTCCCAAACCACCAGTTTCTGAAACTTTGCACTATAAAGATTCACCTTGTACCCAGAAGGGAATTGAGACTTGAGGTGTGTAAAGGAGGATAAGGAACAGTCATGGATTGGTAGCTTTACCTACAGACTACATTTCTTTTTTTTTTTTATCGGTACTGGGGATCGAACTCACGACTGCCTGCTTGCAAAGCAGGCACTTATGCCACTGAGCTAAATCCCCAGCCCCCAGACTACATTTCTGAATAACTTTCAAAGTCAGTTATTTTTAGAATCTACTTTTATGCCGTTTCTGACATCAGCAACTCCTTATGTTCACATGAAAAATTTCAGCTGATCTAAAGTAAGAATTGGCTCGGGCCACAGTGGACACTGAGTTGAGGTTTTGAAGCATTGGGTCATAGTCGTGCACAGGAGGCTAAGAATGCCTCCTCCTGCTTTGCCAAGCACCGTATTCCTCAAGGTGCATGATGTCTGCCTGCACTGACCTCTGTGGGGAGGAGCAGAAACACGATGTCTCAGTGTCTCCATTCGCTGCTCGGGTACCCAGAGGAGCTAACCCTCTGGGTCCTCTCATCGTTGCCAAAACAGAGACAGGAAACAAAGACTGCCTGCAGATCAGATGCTGAACTTGAGCATCCCACCTCACTGATCACTGCTGCAAAATGACTGTTGCACAACTTCAGTCAGATTAGCAGCTCCTCTTCATTTTATGTGGGGTGGACAGGAAGGATCTCAGAGCTGGGAGTAGGCAGGGAAGACAAAAGACAGAGAAAGACAGGTGCACCCGCCTAATTGAGACCCCCCCCCCACTACAAATGCGTTGGCATTTATTTGCATAATGTTCTTCATTTAGTCTCAATACCACACAGGCTTCTTCTACATCACTAAATGAACCACGTCCTTCTACAACTGCAGTCTCCTCCGTAGACCTTTTCTTACAGATGAAAGTGGCGGCCCCTTTCCTCAGTTCCAATAGCACATGTGTGATTTTGCTTTCATGGTGCTTAACCTTGTACTTATCCCTTAAATTACTGAGAACAATGCCTCGTGCAGTCATAGGCACAAGAAAATGTTGCTCAGGTAAAGTCATAGTTGAATGAGACAACAGCCATGAAAGAGAAACCTTAAAAAGGAAAGTAAAAAAAAAAATGGAATTTGGTATCTGTAGTCCAGTGTAAGCCATTTACTCTTTGCCACATCTCTGCCCTATTTCCAGAATATCTACAAAGCTGACCTGGAGTGGCTCCGAGGCATTGGCTGGATCCCTCTGGACTCTGTGGATCACATGAGGGTCACTAGGAACCAGCAGCTGGTGAATCAGGTATGCAAACTCTGTTCCCTTTGGAACCTAATGCCTACCCTCCTTACCTGATATACAGGGCTCTGAGGGTAGACTTGTCTTAACTGTCCCTGTTTCTTTGCAGATAAAATATAAGAAAGATGCTCTTGACAACTATCCCAATTTTACAAGTGTGGTGGATCCTCCAGAGATTGTTTTGGCCAAGATTAACTCAGTCAATCAAAGCGATGTAAGTTTGTTTTGTATATACAGAAATACATAGACTGAAAATTAATTGTCTATCATTGAGTGGACTAGCTCATCTCTAGATAACTGCTTGTAAGAAGTTGGGATGGGGTAGATTATAAAATAACCTGAAGAGGAGGAGCCTTAAAAGACACCAGTAGCTTGTGTACCTGCTTTTAGACATCTATATTCTTTTCCAAAACATTGTTAAAATGAACTGAAATTCAACCAGTTGGTTAGTTTTAATCTCTAAATGTAGACTAATGATTATGTTGTTAGGTAGATTATATAAAAATATAAATATACAAGAAACCCAAATCCCCCCATGAGTCAGCAGCAGTCGAGCCAGCCAGGGGAGAACCAGAAACCCAAGTCCCTGTAAGTCCTCCAGTTCGGGGCCAGGCCAGCAGCTGAGCACTGCAGGGAGAGAAGATCTGCCCCTGCCCCTGCATGTGCCAAACGCCAGGCCTGCAAACCTGAGCTATGCGAGAGAATAGACCGTGTTCTCAGTCAGAGGACAACATATCCATCTGCCAGTGCCATAGGAAGAGGCCTTTGAAGGAAGAGCTTTCATGCAACCCAGACTCACACTCCTGTATATCCAGCTACATTTTTTAGAGAAAACTTAAAATAAATGCTAAGATGTGAGGAAAGTTGAAATGACTTTACCTGGTTAGACCCTTTCTCTTGGTGGCTTTATATAATGTGGCTGGATTTAGGAATATTTGAGCAAATATTATCAAATATCTTTGGATATTAATTTCTCTCAAGTAAAAACTGCTATGATAAGCATCAAAATTTCTTTGAAAAGAATATTTGCAGGTCATAGAAGATAGAGGCTTGCCAAAATAGAAGTCACCCTGCTGATACTATATTCATTGGTTTATTTCTTTAAAAAAATTAAATATACATTTATAGTTATCAAAATGTTTTATTATTTTCTCTTCTTAGGTAAAATAC